CTCGATCATTGGATAATGCAATTCAAAACTTTTTATTGGCTTAGCCAATATGCTATATAAGCCAATATACCATAATCTAATATCTGTACATTGTAACATCTGGTTTCTTCTTACAAAAAAAGAGTCGAAAAGATTTGTCTACTATCTTGGGGACGCTTTTTTTTTTTTTTTTTTTCCACTTGTGCTTGTTGGATATGAGACGATTATAGCCAACTCGGCGCTATGCCCCTCGTTGGCTATTTATCATCTCATATCCAACGCGTGCTTGTGGAATAAGTGTTAAATAACAGTTGGTAATTTGAAAAATTTTATATTTTGTAAATCACTATTAATATTCCTCCAAAGTGAAATTCTAATCATGGTTATTACCATCATCAATAACAGACACAACTACTCCACATCATGTGATAATTTTATTATTATTCCAGACACCAGTAACATTTATATCATGTTCTAGAAATAGTAAATTGTGCTGCCATAAAAATATTGGATAATACAGCATATTGCACTTTAGCAATATCAGTTGGTTACTCACCATCATCAATAACAGATACAACTATTCCACGTCCTGTGATATTATTCTCCCAGACTCCAGTAACATTTATATCATGTCCTATGAATCGTAAGTTGTCCTGCCATAAAAATATCACATAATATTGCTCTTTACTAATATCATCTCCCATCGTTTAATTCAAAATTAAACCTTATAGTACTGTAAATGCCAAAGAGTGCATGGTATGTAAGGGATATGCCTTAAAAATATGAATCTCAGAAAATTTTCATTCTATTTAAAAACAATTCATAAGTCAATGCATTATATGTGAAAGTAATTTTGAGTAATTTTGAGTTTCTTTGCATGGAGGCTTGGTATTATTTTCTGAAAGTACACAAAAATATGCAACTCTTGTCACTCTTAGATTCAGCAAAATTGTGGTACATCTATTGTTACTCTTAGAAGGTGCCCAATTTTGATGTCTTGAGAAATTTGGACCAAGAATGATGGTGAAGACGGCTTGTATTTGAGACTAGTAACAGCTATTGGTAATTAGATATGTCCTAAGGGCGTTTCTATACTTGGCTGCTTATTGTTCAAGACACTTTTTGAATAAATAACAAAGTTCAATATTGAAATAAGTCCTTGACCTTTAATTTGAATGTGGCTAAATCTGAGGAACACTTGGACAAAAGAAAAATTTCTTCTTTCACAGAAAACCAATCAAGTTAACCTGATCATAAAGCATTAAGATAACGATTATGAAAAAGAAGGTAGTTTAAAATTTCAAACAGATTAATTTTAGAAAGCCTCTTACGAGAATTTAAAATCTATTTCAAATAAATTTTTAATAGGGTCTAATCGACTCTTACCAAGTGCCACTGGCTTGGAAAATACTGATCCTTGAATTGTAGGCTTCGCTTGTAACGCATTCGAACTACCTCTTGTCTTGACCACTCGATGCTGGGATGTTTGGCTAAAAGTTCCGTAATACTACTTTGCATTTTTCCAAGATCGTGTTCTTTGATTCCGCTTTGATTGAAAAAAGTATTATTATGTATGTACAGGTAATGTCCTTTGAGGCCTCCAATTTGCCCGCGATTAACAAGGCCTGCCTCATCTGCGATGCGGTTTGCTAGCGAATGGAGGTCAGATAGATTAGAATAATGAACCATTGGTATTCGAATGGCCCACGATGAGGAATAATCCATTGAGTTCGTCGTCCTGATGTGTTCGAATCCATCATTGCTATAACATCCACAAATCAATAGAACAAAAACACACCAATAAAAAGCCATAAATAGCCGCCATACTAGCAGCTTAATGGGCATAACAAGTAACTAAGAGAATACATGAAACATTCGCCAGCATTTCAACCAAGACCACGATCAAAGGAAAGGAGAAATTTAGTAAAATTGCGGCGATTCCCCTTTCCTTTTACCGCCATTAATGTATCTACAGGTAACCAAGCCTGCCTTTGTCTGAATATAACCGGAAGTCCCTTGAAACATTTCAAAACATTTCCACCCGCACAGACTTTTGGGAGAATTGACTACAGTTCCAGTCTCACTCGAGTCAAGCCAACATGGCGGATGTCCAGTGAAGAAATGAGACAACTTTTTCGCCGATTTTCGTCATACATTACCATGAGCGCCTATGAAGTCAAACATAATTTGAAGGGCCAGGAATTTTACATTGCTTTAGAGAAAGGTTTGTAAATCCCCAGGAAATGCATACCACTCTCCCGTGGTATTTATGTCAGCTGTAAGCTGCAGGCCGTCCTTATAATTAATTTCTTAATTATTAAGCTTAATTTCCTCGTATCTTTCGAATATATATCTATATGAATCAATAAATAAATAAATGATGAAAGGTGGAGAAACATATAATCACAAGTTTGTTGTTTCGAGCGTCAGCCCTTTGTCTTTTGCTCTGATGAATTATCTTTTCATGCATACTCCCCCACCAAATTGAAGCACCACATATTCTTTAGAAACTTACCCCAAGGCTGTGCTCTAAAAATAATTGAAGGGAGCCCAGCGCTCTGAAACTCTGAAGTCCAGGGTGCCCAGTATATGCCTTTTATGAGAAAACTAAAATTCCTGAGTCTCCCAAGAGCAAAAGTAAGGCGCCAGGGGCCACTGGGCACTGCTAGACCACAGTCCTGTTACCCCCTTATCCTATCTCAGGGTACCCTGGAGATTTGTTCGTGTATGAAAGCATTCAGATATGCCTTATCCTCAAAACGTTATCCCACTCCTTGAGTGTGGACCAAGCTGCATCACAAGCATGCCATGCCCTAATTATTTTTTAAGGGTATAGGCATTGAAAATTTTGATTATTGTCTTGGATTATGGCATCTTCCAAACTCCTCGTTGAATTAAAGAGCAATCCACACACTTTTGTGCTAACTTCAGTTTTCACAAAAATAGCCAGACGTCTTCACAGAAGAATCAATGGCTTTGGGGAGGGTTATAGAACTAAATTTGAATGATAGCTAAAACTTTTGTCACTTTGCAAATGCTCCTAGGAGTGAAGGTTTTTAGTACAAAAGTGATGTATTTCACCACCACACTGGGCAAGTTCTATTAACACTTAATTTTTACAAATGTCTGTCAGTCCCCAAGGTTTCCTTGAGGTTAGACCCAGATGGAGGCCTGTGATAGAAAAAAAAGGAACTTATTTTTTTTTTTCATTCCTTAATTCCTTCTGTCTTTTTTGAAAAACATTATTTGGTAATACATGCTCAAGAACACCACACAACACCCCTCTATAAATGCTTTTGATCCTTTACACACGCATAGGTAAAGCCATATTACAGTATGAAAATGAAGGAAACAATACCATGAACATGTATCACACAATGGTACCATCTGAATACAGAGGAAAAGGCATTGCTCGGCACCTAGCCAAGGTCAGTGGTTGTTAATTAACAAGCATTAATAGTTATTTTAAAGTGACCACTTCAAATCAGACTACTAGAATTTGAAACAGACATGACACAAATCTCAAGACTGGCAAGGATAAAAAGTCTGCCCACAAGTATAGTGGTCTCNTCAATATAAAACCAATTTTGTTACAATATATTTTTTAATCAAACTGATAAGCTTTAACATTCTGGGCCCAGTTGTTCGAAGTCCAATTAGTACTACCGGGTAACCTATACCTGCCAACTTTTTCTGAGATATAGGCGTGAGATTTTTATCTTGGGAGTGCTGGGATTTTTGAAGATGACTTGATCATTTCTGAAGAAGTCCGAAGTCTTCCGAAGACGTCCGAAGTCATACTGTGACGAAACATTCCCCGAGTCCCAGTCCCAGTCTTAAGACACGTATAAATGCGAGCTTGCTCCCAGTGCTTTTCACTTCAAAAATCAGAGTGAGAGATCATGAGGAAAGTATTGCCATTTATTCATTTTACATGTGGTTTTTGTTCCTTGCGTGGGTCTGAGTTAACATTTATTTGGAAACTGTGTCAAGCAAGGCCGCAACAACTCACATTTTTCAATCAGGCTTGAGAAATTGGCCTGCAGGCGTGAGATCCAAGTTTTCAACCCGCAGGCAAGAGAGTCTCGCCTAAGGCGCGAGAGTTGGCAGGTATAGTAACCCAAATTTTAATCTGGATTTCTTTAATCCTTTGTTCAAAAGCTTTTCCGGATAATTTCATCCATTCTCTCAGGCATCCAATCATCAAATTGTAGACAAAAGGAATGGTAATGAATTTTCTTGTAAAGCTTTTAAATCTGGAATCAGATTTCACACTGGCTCTGGGTTACCTTAACCCAGCTTTGAACAACCCAGCCCAATACTTTACAATAATTAAATTGAATTAAGTTCACGCCAAGTGAATGCCTAAAGACCATAAATCAAATGGAAACAACTGCATACAAATCTCAAAGTACTGCGGGAAAAAAACACAGGGATATGAAAGGAAACCAACAAGTAAACATTTATCATTCATGTTATTATAATAACTGTGATACATAAACTGTATCTATAGAGAAAACTGAGATATTAATTGGCTCTTATTGGTCAGCAACTGTTTTAGAAGAAAGTATGAAAACATTACGGCGACATTTTAAATAAGTTTGCATACACTTTTGAGAAATAAGAAAGGAATACGGTAAGGGACTTTTTGTGTGGTTACGAAGCCTGAATATCTAATCACTCAAGAGAGGGGTGGGGGTGAGTCTTCCATCTTCCCTAGTGTTTGGATGCAGGGGCTATAGGTAAGGTAAAGGTAAGGTAAACTTATTTGATAAGTACATTGAGATTGTTTGTGTGGTTACCAAGCCTGAATATCTAATCACTCAAGAGGGGGGTGGGGGTGAGTCTTCCATCTTCCCTAGTGTTTGGATGCAGGGGCTATAGGTAAGGTAAAGGCAAGGTAAACTTTATTTGATAAGTACATTGAGATTGTTTGGCAGCCGAAGGGCTGATGTGGACCTACTGTAAACAATCAAAATTTGACAAACACAAATGGTATTAAGAAAAGAATAAAAGCTATGCACAGGGAGAAAACAATATAATATGCAAAAAACTGAGATTTACAAGAGCCTAATTGAAATAATATAATATACCAGAAAATAAAATGCTTAATTAAAAGTATATAAAATCATCTTTTTTTGCGGTGATCAAGGTCACTTCCATGCTAAAAGAATACTCTACAATATCTCTGGTGTGTTTCTTTAATATCTGCTTAAAGGAATTAAAATTTTCAGGCACTTTAACTAGTCTATTTAAAAAATTCCAGATTACAGGGCCTCTGTACTGTAAAGTGTTTCTTCCTGTATCAGATTTAAACCTAATGATATTAAATTGATTAGGAAAGGGAGTTAACCTAGAAGTTGTCTTTTTAGAGAAAAGTTGTCAAACAGATTGACACGAAGTTTCAAAATACACTTTGTGCATTAACGTAAGAATGGACATTTTGTAAAAATAAGAGAGGGGTAGCCAATTTGATTTACTGAGACAAATATTATCAGCCAGTGACGGTTGAAGGTTGTTTATAATACGGGAAGCTCTTGCATGTATAGAGTTCAGAGAATTCATTGCTGAGGGTGAGCAATTTCCCCATACTGAAATACTATAAGTTACGCTGGGAATAAGAGATTTGAAATAAATTTCCTCGAGTGACTGTTTAGGAAGAATTTTCATTCTCTTTAGTGGTCCAACTTTTTGTGTGAAATGCTTCTTCACTGAATCAATGTGCACAGACCATGAAAGTCTATTGTCGATTTTAACTCCTAGGCAAGTGGTAGAGTCAACAAAGGTTAATTAAGCCAGTGTCCCAAAGTAAAGGGGAGGAAGAGGACCAACAAAGGCAGATTTCTTTAGAATCATTGCCTCACTTTTGATTGGATGGATGGTTAGTCAATTTTTTTAAAAAATTAAAATATTCCTCTATTGTTTAAGTACTAGTAACTGCTTAAAACCTTGAGTTACTCTACTTTCTAATTCTTCAACATTGGTGGAAACAATATCATTTATGCCATTAACATTGTATGTGTGATACATCCTTTACTTTGAGATATGTTCATAAAAATGTATTTATTGACCTTTACATATAACAGTGTAAATTGAAATAACATATCATTTCAACAGCTTCTTTGTTGCTGCTGTTTTCTTCTTTTTTTCAGTTTCTGTTACTTTATACGATACATACCATGAATCTGATTACATAATTGTGAGCATCACCACTGCTTCAGTAACAACACATCCTCAATAAAATTATCATTCTTAATTAAAGAGATTCTTATTTACACTTTGCTTATAGTTTACTGTTTTCCTACTTTGTGTGCAAAATAGGTTTTAAAACATTGAACAAATCTAACATGTGACATGAACTCTTTGCAATAAATATTCAAGACTTTTTAGTCTGGTAGCTTGATACACCTCTGGGTTGTGTAATTAAAAATTACAAACCTGTTAAATGTAAAAAAATAAATAAATAAAATCGATGCTTTGACCACTGAGGGGGTGCACTGAGCCATGTAATCAGGTAAAATAAAAAAAATTAACTGCATCATATGCATTTCCTCTAGTAACAGCTGTCCCTCTTGTGGGGTCTTGCTCAACATACTACCATCACTTAAGATATCATTTCAAATAAGTTATGGTCTCTTCTAAGTTTACAGCTACCTAAGAAAAAAGTTACACTGTCTTGAACTTGCAGGGAAAGGGGGGTTAATCATTATCTATGAAGTATAATTTATAAAATAATGTTGTGATGGAGATAACTTTTAGACTACCAATAAACCCAACTAGTGGTCCAAGTGGGATGAAAACTGAAAATTTTCTGATGGTTTATCTGATGAAGTGATTTCACAGCAATGCTGCCTTCACCAAAGAAGAAAACAATTCAGGCAGATCATTTGTTGCAACCACAGTTGGCCATCACCCTCTTGTGTTGTGGGTAATCAGATGATTGCAGTTTTATCCCAGCATCTATTTTATCACCGTTTCTTACCTAGAGATTTCAGAAAAAATGAAGTTGTGGTTCAACATGACATAAAAGACTCAGAGCACAGTTTAAAGTTTAATGAAAAATGGTAAGACCTCATGGAAATGCTTCCAGACAGTTTTCAATCTTACCATATCAGGGTCATTTGCATACTTTATGTTTTTTGCAAGTTCTTGGAAAACCTATCAAGAGCAAAAACAAATGAATAAATACTAAATCTGTTTCCTTGTGTGGGGCTTTTCTTGCTTCACACATGAAGATTTGAATACTTAGTATTCAAACAAGACAAGCTCTCTTTTTAAAGAGCAATGTTTATTTAGCAACTCAACAGTCTAACTTTCCACACTCTCACATACTATTAATAATTCTATTTTAAGTGCAAACTGCATATAATTATAGTACGAACAATGAACATTCCATCTAGGGAATAACTATTGATAGTAAGCATGCTAATTTGATATGCAAAGGTATATTATTACAAAAAAGTAAAAAACTTAAGACACTGTGGGATAGATGGTCACCACCTACATGTACTATGATAAACATAAAATGGATAGGGGAAAAATGAGCAATTAAGGATAATAAATCGGTCAGTGACAATTACTGAACATTGATTCAAAATGTGCAGAGTATGCAGATTTGAAAGAAGAAAAAAAGTGGAAATTGTCCAAAGACAATTCACAACTCTCAGGAAGAAAATAACCAAATGTAGCCTTGCTGTGAAGTAAAATATAAAGGAGAGGTCATAAGGAAGAAATAGCATTAACTGCTTCAGTTCACCTCTTGAACATTCTTTTGTGTCTTTGCGCTTGTTTCAAAGAACTTCAACCCAAACTGTCTTGCAAACTGTACACAAACAAAAATACAACTTATATCACTTGCTTCAGGATAGGCTCAATGTTTCCCTTCTCTTGAGTCTGGTCATTGTTTCAACCATCTCTTCAAGGAGGAATTATTTGTTCATTTCCCAAACAATGGATGGTTATCAAAGTTAGCTTTAGGATACGTACCTTGGAAAATTTGAATTATTGGAGATGTAGGCACTATCATTTGTAACAATACCCCTTTCAAAATACACCATAAACGCCCTTAGATAAGCAGTTTTCATTTATTTTTGGAAGTACTTGAAGTGACCCTGATAATTCCTTAAAAGTCTTATGTTTTAACCTCTTGATAATTTGCATACTTTGCATATTTAAACACATTATATATCACAGCAGGATTGATATTAGATAAGATATAGTTTCTGGGATTGTTTTCCTTCAGAAGGCTACTTTCCTCTTCGCTTTTGCTACCCTGAATACCCACCTACCAATCTGACTAAGAAAGAGTTGTCAACAATATTACATCTCAGTCCGTAAGTTGGAGTTTGTGTGTAAAATTGGTACTTTTAAAACCGGTCCATCAAAAATTAAAATAAAACAAAGTTGTCTGACCTCTTTTCCAGTTTGAGTGTCCACTTCCCAGCTTTTCCTATCATAATCAGACTTGTTTCCCACTAGGATTACTTCTTCATACATTAGGTTATGCTACAAACAAACATTTACAATTCATGTAATTAATGCAACTTATGGCAATTTGGAAGCACTTTTTTTTTTATTATTTTCCAAAAAAGGGTCTAACAGCCAATTCAAACTTCCTGCAGCTGTCATCTTGAAAAGTTTGCAATGCACTCTGGGCTGATGACGTGTAATGGTTGCGCAGTGCACTCACAGTATTCCACTCTTGTTAATGCTATATTGCTGTCATCTCAGTGAAGAAAATTTTGGTGAAAGCATCACAGATCTTCCCCACCAGTTGGAGGTGGTGCACTCTTCAAAAGAAGAGACAGGAAAGTGAAGTTAAAGATGAAGAATATTGAGAAGCATCAGGTTTTAATTCTTAAAATGTCAACTGCCGATCAAAGGTTTTAATTCTTAAAATGTCACCTGCCAATCAAACACTTCACTGTGAGTGCAAGAAGCAACCATTATACATCATCCACCTAGAGTGCATTGTGCACTATTCAAGATGGTGGCCACGGGAAATTCTAAGTGGCTGCTAGATTACCTTCTTTGGAAAACAATAAAAAAATCAGATTGCTTAGTAATGCAACTTTTTTTATGCCATATCTATTGAGAAGTACATTTGGAACATCTTGAGCATTATTTGTAAAAAAGTGGAGGTTCCCTTTAAAAAAGTATAAATTAAAAATTATTATAATGCAAAAAATATGCATAATC